ACATCTGAGCAGACACCGCACAGGCTGCCAGCTTACACAAGTTGCAGCTAATAAAACTGTCTGGCTTGATGACTATCCTTTTAACCTCTCCCCTCACTACAACTGGCTACTGTCACTGACCACCAACTCTCACAAGGCCCACTGTCTACTTATAGGTCTTGATAACCAAATTAATCTATAGCTTAAGCACCAAGCATACCATTTACATGCCATAGAGATTTTGTAAAAAGAGACATGATGTTGATCCAAAATCATTTGGGAGTTTGGAAGTTATTAACCAGTAGGAGAGATGTAAAATTGAGGTTTCTGTTCTGGAGCAGTTAAAGATGATTACATTTTCTGAAAATGTTTTAAAGGAGAAAGTGAAAACCATTCAGTAATACAACCCCAATTCCAAAGAAGGTGGGACGCTGTGTAAAATGTAAATAAATGTAAATAAATGTAAATGCAATGATTTGCAAATGCAACGCAAATGTAATGATTTCCAAATCTCATAGACCCATATTTTATTAACAACAGAACATAGAACACGTATCAGATGTTGAAAGTGAGACATTTTACCATTTCATTAAAAACATTAACTCATTTAGAACTCGATGGCAGCAACACATCTCAAAAAAGTTGAGACAGGGGCAAGAAAAAGCTGGAAAAATGATTCAGAGCCAAAGCTCATTTAAAATGGACTGAGGCAAAATGGAAAACTGACCTGTGGTCAGATGAATCAAAATTTGAAATTCTTTTTGGAAACCACGGATGCTGTGTCCTGCAGACTCAAGAAGAGAGGGACCATCCAGCTTGTTATGAAGTGCACAGTTCAAAAGCCTGCACCTCTGATGGTATGGGGTTGCATTAGTGCCTATGGTGTGGGCAGCTTACACATCTGGGAAGTCACTATCAATGCTGAACAGTGTATAGAGGTTTTAGAATAACATATATTCCCATCCAGACAGCGTCTCTTTCAGGGAAGGCCTTGCATATTTCAGCAAGACAATGCTAAACCACACACTGCATCCATCACAACAGCATGGCTTCGCAGAAGAAGAGTCCGGGTGCTGAAATGGTCTGCCTGCAGTATGAAATACGACAGAAAAACAAGTTAATTTTAAGTTAATAAAATTAATTTAATTCTCTGAGCTAACACTCAGAGCTGGGTAGAGTAAAAGCCCATCCTTAAAATAATGATTCAAGTGGAAGTGAAAGCTTTTACCAGAAACAGCTTCACCAGTAGTAAAGATGCGTATATAAATACATACATCTGTGTAAAAGGAACCAGCTTCTATCCACCTCTGCATACGTCCATACATCCGGCTCTCTGAAGAGTACCTGCGTAGATGAGATTAGCAGGCATCCAGCCCCACTCGCAGTAAAAACAAGGTTTTGAATCAGTGTGTGCGGCTAATAAAGCGGCTCTAATCAGAGAACAGACGTTTGAGTGAACACAATGGAAAAGCCCTCATGCGTGAAGGTGGGGATGATTTGTAACATTTGCAATTGGCTTACGTGGCCACCGTGGTATTTAAAAGTTTATTAACGTGATTATTTTCACTGGACAAAAATGGATGTCCTTGTTTACCTCTGAGAAGACCAACTGTGTGCTGCTCAGGATTTGTGTTGTTTTATTAGCAGCTTCAAACATCCTGATCCTGATAAAAATCTCACCCTGTGTGCAATTTGTGGTGTTTTTTTTAATATGCTCCGTTCTTGTACGTTGCCTTCGTCCTGTCGCTCCTGTTACGCTGCGATCCCACTCGGGGTGACATTTACAGCGGAACGCTGGGTACAAGAGCCGTACAGATGGATTACCTGACTGACGAGTGCCAGGGACGCATCGGGGGAGTGTATGTGCGTGCGTGCATGTGTGTGTGTGTTTGTGTTCGGACAGCAGGGGATTAAGCAGATGCCTCGCAGACAAGCTTTTAAATTTCAATTAAAATCTACACAGTTAAACAGGCAGGAAGAGCTGTGAAGAGGAGTGTGAACAGCAGTGATGAAACTGCGAGTGTCGGCGATGGTGCTTGAGGGCAAGAATGAGGGAGGCCTTTAAAACACAGAGGATATCAAACAGATAATACAGACTCAAATCAAATGACATTTGGGACACCTTATGTTTAGGCTTTGATGGGTAGAACTGAGAGAGAGAGAGAGAGAGAGAGAGAGAGAGAGAGAGAGAGAGAGGGAAATAAAGAAAAAGAAGAGAAAAAGAGTAAGACGGAGAGAAATAAAAGAAAAAGGAGAGAGAGTCAATTGAAAAAGTGCAAGAAAGAAACAGAGAGAGAGGGTGTGAGAGAGTGAGAGACAGGGCAGGGGAGAAAAAAGAAAGAGAAAAGGACACAAAGAGAGAGAGGTAGAGAGAGAAGGGGGGAGAAAGAAAGAAAGAAAAAAGGAAGAGAACAAGAGTGAGACAGCGAGAGAAATAAAAGAAAGAGAGAGGGAGAAGATTGGAAACAAAGAAAAAGAAGGGAGGAGAGAGAAACAGAGAGAGAGAGAGAGAGATACCAACAGAGTGAGAGACGGGGCAGGGGAGAAAAAGAATGAGAAAGGGACACAGAGAGGGAGAGAGAGAGAGAGAGAGAGAGAGAGACGGAGAACAAAAAAGGTAGACAGCGAGGAAAGGTGAGAGGGAGAAAGAGTACAAAAAGAAAGAGATGTAAACACACAGAGATAGGGAGAGAGAAAAAGAGTGAGAGACAGAGAATGAAAACAATGGAGATAGAAAGAGAGAACAAAGAGAGAGAGGGATAAACAGGAAGACAGACAGAGAGAGTACAAGAAAGAGAGATGTAAAAGGACAGGGAGAAAGAGAGAAAGACAGAGGGGGGGGGACAGAAAGAGTGAAAGGTGAGGGTGAATGAGAGAGAGAGAGAGAGAGAGAGAGAGAGGATGTTCCTAGTCTTTATAAGTGTTGACAGAAAAGGAAAAAAAAACTTCTCTCAATTATGCGTTCTGATTAGGAGAAGCGGGCAGAGCCGCCTCATGTGAAGGAGGGAAACGGTGCGTCTGGGATTTTTATTTATGTGCATGTCGACAAGTGCCTCTCTTTTTATTCCGCTACGCACACCGCTGGGTGTCATGGCAACCCTCACCTGTAGTAGAGAGAGGAGAGAATTTCAAACGGTGCTACGGCGCGCTCTCATAGACGACCAGCGTCTTCTGATCCCCCTCTCCACGCTGCCTCACAGGAAACAGCGACTTCAGAGGCTTATCATAACAACAATGCTATTTCTGGAGACGCCATCAAAGACGCATCATTTACAATACCACCTAGTTTAAACCAATAAGAACAACAGTACACTGGAACAGCTTTAAGCTTGATTAAACACAGAAGGCAGAGTAGATAACAGAATTACAGAGTATTACCGCTGTTGGAATTAACCTCTCCAAAAGTTCATAGGAGAGGAAAAGAATGTTCTTAACGTTAATATATGAGATTTTTTTTCAGGTAAATCTGAACCATTTCTATTGATTTTGTGAAAGAGACTACTTAGGCAGTGTAAAGGGCAGTTGACATTTTCAAATTATGTAAGCAAACAAAAAAAGAAATTATGAGGTTATTGCTGATGACATGAAACATGGAGGACAGCAGGTAATGAACATGAGGAAAAACATGGATAGTAGTAAACAGGTTCCAGGAAAACATGCTTTTAGTCAAATTCTCATAGCAACATCGTCTGAGAATTTTGACAGCAATCAGACAGACATTTCTCAAGATGGACTCTTAAGACTGTTTTTATACTGATTATTGAGTGTGTATAATCACTCTCAATTATCGGTATAAAGTTCACACCTGTAATCCTTTTAATTTCATTGTTGGTGTCTATAATACCATATATTATATACCATTAAAATAATATAAGTACCATTTCGAAGCATGTCAACAAAGCACAGTCAGAGCTAACCAGGCTAAAGTACAGCCTCCATATGGCATGGTTAAGTTTAACTAGGGATGTGCAAAAGGGAAAAAAAAAGGAATTTGACCAAAAGTAGCATTCAGCTGTAGGCATACTTTTTAGATGACATATCTGGGGGTTAAAATTTGAAGTTTTTCTTATTTAAAAACAAGAGAAATCAATATGTTTTCATGTTGGGTGATTAATGGAAGTGACACTGATTAGCTCTACAACATGAGACTCATCTTCTTCCACATGAGGTCTTTTATCCTCAGTGGACAATGTACCAACATGTTATTTGTCAGAGAAATATACTGTCACTGTTTCTGGACCTCACACCAGCTAGAGTAGTTAACCTAGTTAGCCAAAAAAGCCACACCAGAACACGTCCTCAGTCACGTCTTTAATGACACATTCTTGGCAATGCACTCACATTCAGGCACTCGTTTCTGTAGTAGCGAAGTCTAATATATTTACTCATAAAACTGTCATATTTTACACGATTAGAAAGGAATTTTTAGTGTTTGAATACTGGCACCTCGAGTGGTTAACCAAGTACTCAAACACCTGTGCACATCCCCAGTTTTAATAGGGTGTTACAACTAAGCCTGCTAAAAAAATAAGAAAAGTCCATAATCCCCCCTATAATTTCAGACAGTCCATTTTTGGACATTTGCATGCACAGATTAATCAAAAGTGTATACAGAGGTCATATGATGGATTGAAATATATTTCAGTTTCACTGTGCCAATATTTATTTTAATACAATATTTGTATTAAAAACTGCCAAATTGTATTTGTTTTTCTCAAATACTTTGGTCCCTTCATGGCTGTGAGTGACTAAGAACCTTGCCTGATTAAGCACACCTCTTTTTTCGATCCTTTTTTTTTAGCAAGAGCAGTGATGACACTTACGGCATCTCTGTGACACTGTAGAGCTAAAAACTTGAAGTGAACTGCAATCAAACTTTTCCAAAAACAGCAAGTCGAGCACACATCCTATTCGCAGTTCTTTTCTAGCCTTGTTTTCACACGCGGTATCAGTGATGCAGATTGTGCCTGTACACAGTCGAGGCAGCCGTTTCAATTATCACCCCTCTTCTACTCCCACAGGTGCGTTTGCCTCCAGAAGTGAGGTGTGAGCATGGCAGCCGCGTGCACTGAAAACACGTCCTGGATGTTTGCCGCATGGAACCGGAACACGAGCCCCGTGGATGCTGACGCCATCGACCACGCCGCACCCAGCGCAGCGTTCTATGGGACTTTCTCAAGGTATACAGTGAGGAGAGATTAGAACAGCACCCATGATCTGCCAGAGTGGTTCAATGTGGGAATACATCTGTCCTCTATTTGGAAGTGAAGGAACATCAAATGGGACCATTTGTTATTTGATGATGACAGAGAGAGGGAGAGAGAGAGACAAAGTGTTAAGGCTACAATGTATATCATCGGCACACAACAGCTGTGTCTCAAAAGCCAAGGATGCAGCCGAAGAAGGCTGCGTTTCTCAGCTGTAACGTCTCATTTGTCCATATTTACATCATATCCATTCAGCTCTCTACAGTGTAATACTCCAGTACCCCCAGTGTAATAATGCAAACATACTGTACAATGCAATGGCGAACCGCAACTATTAGAGCTATTAGAGCTTCAATTTGGACCACAAATGTCAAGACTCAGTCAAAACATTAAGGAAAAAAAAACACCTCATCAATGATACTTACTAATTTATTCTAGCGTCCCTTTAGTACTTTGTTAAACTTGCTGACAGGGCTAAACTAAGCTACTTACTCAAATTATCTTTTCCACCTTAAGCAGTGCAGCAGTTACATTCTGGCACCTAAACGCACCCAAATTTAACTGCTGTAGCATTTAAGGCGAAATGGAAAATTTGTTGGCACCAGAATGTAACTGCTGCACTGTTTAAGGTGGGACAGAGCAGCTCTAGATTAAACACATCTGTAGCTTAAAATAATTCCTGATTGGCCAATTTTATCAGGTTTTTATTAACTGTATTGCATGATGGTGCAAACGTCACTAAAACTGTGAATGAAACTAACAATGAAATATATTTTAATATTTGTGTTTTCTCAGAAACATCTCCAAAAATCATGTTCTTTTTTTTTGGCTATGAAAATGGAGAGTAAACACCATGCCTGACTCTGTCAGGGTTTTGCGGTGTATACATATTACAAAAAACAAGGCATTTTCTATCGTTACAGTGGTGATTTCATAATTCAACTAACCACCAGGACACTTAAGCTGTACAGAAATTACTGCAAAGGTTACTCAGTAAATCACACACAGCAGAGACAATGGTAGATTTCACTCTACTGTAGCCTTTTAAAGGCCCCATTATAACTCAGCGTTAAAGTGAATAAAACATTATTTGTACATATGTATATACAAACAGGACCAGATGAACATTCTCTCCTTGTTTGAGCTAGCTGCTCTGGTCTAATAGCCAGTCACTTTAGCTCGGTTGTTTTACTGCAGCAAGTCATTTTGAAACAAGCTGAAGTTACAAAGCACGTCAGCATTTATTTTTATATATATATATTATATATTAGTTTTTTAACAAACTCTCTCTCTTTCTCAAACAAAAACTGACCTGCACCCCAAGGTTAGGCAGAGCTTATAATGGATTTGAGACACCTGGTTTAATATTACTCCAGTGACATCCCGCTGTCACTATAAGCTAAGGTGAGTGGCTGCACCTGCACTGAAAATGTAAGAATTATAGCGGCTGCAGTGACTGTGCAGCAGTTAGCCATGCAGCTAAACTAGCAGCTTACTTCACTATCTTATAAATATTACATAATTAATAGAGCATCCATCTGTGGAGCATTGGCCTCTCAGAAAAAGCCATCTGAAGCTAAATATTCGGTTACCTCACATGAGAACGTATTTTTGCCCATTAGCGTTATTAATTTTAGAACAGAGACATATTGCTTTGCTCACAATGACAGAGTTGCTATAAAGCTGTCAGATGTTTGCAAACATCCCAATTGAATTTAAAACTCTATTCACAGCCAAAATATATTGTTGATGTTTTGTTTGTTTATTGCCAGCAATGGTAGACATGCAAACACACAACCATGCAGACTCACTCATTCATTACACCGCTCACACAACTCCATAACCCTATTAAACTCCCCCACAGATGTTGACTACAGGCCAGCGTCAGAATCCGGGGGCACCATGGCCAGTAATGTGACGCCCAGCGATGGGCTGGAAGAGGCCCATGAACAGTACAACTACCTGGCTTTGGTGTGTGGCGTGCCCCTCATCCTCATCATAATCCTGGGCAATGTGCTTGTGTGCCTCAGCGTACTGACTGAGAGGTCCCTCAAAACTGCCACCAACTACTTTATCGTGAGCCTGGCAGTGGCAGACTTGCTGTTGGCAGTTCTAGTCCTGCCACTGTATGTGTACTCAGAGGTGAGTGCAGGATATGTCCTGTGGTGAATGATAAGGGCACTACTTCAAGTTATTGCCACCTATGAGCAGGATTCTAGGTCCATTTCCAGCCAAATGTTTGGACACACCAACTCTTAGAAGGATACAGTGGGGTCCAAAAGTCTGAGACCACTGGTGTAAATGATTATATTTTGTATTTGAGTGAAAAGTAGAAATGTTGAATGTTGAATTTTAGAGTTTAGATTTTAGAATTTCTAAGTCCCTTTTTTGCTTTAATGACTGCGCACTCGAGCTGGCATGGACTTCCTGAGAGTGGGCTGAACATGTGTTTCAATGTGTTTCATGTACAAAGGCCTTAACATGATCGATTTCACAAATTTGCTTAAAACTCGATTCGTTTTGAATAGTGATCTAGAAATAGTGCAGAATATTTATTCATTTTATTAGTCATACATTTTCTCTGTTATAACTTTTTCAAGATTCTAAAACTTTCTGTTGCTTATTTCTAGATTTAACTGGAAAAGATATCAGATTTTCAATGTGGTCTCAGACTTTTGGACTCCACTGTATTTCAGAATAATAGTGAAAGCATAAAAGCCATGAAATCACATAGCAACCAAAAAGCTTCAATCAAAACAATGTAATATCTTGTATTCTTTAAAAAGTAGCCTCATTTGCCCTCATGCAGCTTTATATACTCTTGGTATTCTTTCAAGCAGCTTCATGAAGGGATGCTTTTCAAGACGTTCCACAAATCAGCTGTGTCCAAACTTTGGCTTGCGCTGTAGCGGATGTAACACTGTTTGATCATGGTGATGGTGTAATGTGGTCTCTCACCTTTATTGAACTGCACTTCAAAAAGTTGCCCAAAAGCCTCTTTTAAATATCAGATGATAGATCTCTACCTCACCTTACACTGACTTCAGTTATCTAACACAGAGTTACTGTTAATAATACTTTTGGGAAGCCTCGCTTTAAAAAAGATCTTTATGTGGTTGGAGGCTTCCCAAAAACAAGTGAGTCCTTCAGGAGCTGTGTTGTCTATATTTGTCTGCTTTTCAGACGCTAGGAGAAGAGCTGTAACTTCTTGAAAGATCCCCTGACAACACCTCATTTACTGACTTTTTGCACTGTGAAGTCATCTTCCGCAGAGAATATCTCTGTTTTACTGTTGACGTTCTGCATTAAGGAAGGTTGTGCAAAGTTTGCGAATCAAATTCAGTATGATCCCCATACGCAGAGATGGGTAGTAACTGGTTTCATTATTCTCCATTTTTCGTGTCCTCAAGTAACATGTTTATATATTTGTACTATCCTGAGTGTTTTTAAATGATAATATTTTTACTTCCATTCAGGTATATTTGTGAGGAAATAATCTGTTTTTTTTATAATAATCAGTGCTTTCTTTCCTCTCACTTGCTTTAGCATTTTATTTTAAACCACTACACTCTCAGAATAAAAGGTATGAAACTGTCACTAGGGCAGTACCGCTCTTGTCACTGGGATCTCAGTACATTTAGACAGGGAACATAATTGTACCATAATCCATTGAAATGATATTTTCCACACCCCCCGTCTCGTCTCCAGGCTTTTTATTTTATTGTTCTGTTTTAAAACATTAGGATAGGAAAAGATACAAATGTGTACTTTTCACCTGGGAAAAACTTATTTACGGTACACAATGGGACCTTAAAACCACTGTTGCACCTTTGACGTTACATTTATGTTGTTTGCACCAAGATGCGTGAAAAATGTACCTGCACAGAACCTTTATTTCTAACAGTGTACAAAGAGTAGAGCCTAACAAACTTCAGTTCCTATGCTGATAGATGTAGTAAGATGTACTAAGAAGTTACTCAAGCAGTTTTGTCACTTGCCACTTCTGTGCTTTTACCCAATATGTTTTTGAAGAATTTCACTTTTCCTTGAGTTATTACTTCACAAACATAACAACACTTCTACTAGTGTTTGAGTTTTACTCTACTCACCTCCATCGATACGTTTTTTCAGCTGACCCATGTTTCACCCACAAATGCATTTTTATGTAGCTACTGTTGTGAGGTTGAACAGAATGCTGACAAAAAGCCCATTTCACCTAAAATTGAATATTTACTTGTAATTCAGTCTTTGTAAAAAGTATCTATATTTAGAGTGCAATATTAATTTCAAAAGGTTTTTATTTTGTATGTGTATGAAGGGTCAGACTCTTAGCACTGCGGCTGGCCAAACGTTAGCACGGTGACAGATTCTATGCTGTTGTTGTTTGCAACTTGTCCAATTTTGCTTAGCTACAAGTACATAGTGCAGCTCTGTAGCATAGCATTTTAATCAATGTTATCTAGCAGCCAATGGCGTCTCTACATTAGGGGCCGGTGTGGCCTGGCCCCACCAGATGTTGCTGTGGAGCAGTGCATGACATGATCAACAATTTAGTATAACAACTAATGTATATAAATATACGTAATATATTTGCAACAATGTTAGTTACGAAGGAAAAAAAAACAAAATGTGTGTGTGTGTATATATATATATATAAATATATATATATATATATATATATATAAATATATATATATATATATTACATATCACAATGGTAGTGCTGTCCAATACATTCCAAATATTTTCCTGTACATGTTGTGTAAATGCCAGTAGGCTACCTATTTCTCCTAGCAGTCTTCATTTGGTGAGCATAAGGCCGGCCCGTCAGCGTTTGTCTAACCGAGTGAACGGTTAAAAAACACTCTGCGCATATTCAAAGCGCCTTCAATAGCCAGCTGTGGGGCCCGGTCACATTGGTGCCATGCTGAGAGCAGCCAATAAAAAATTATAAATTTACATATGTCCAGACGTTTAGTAACGTCATTTATGGTATGGGTGATGCTATGCAGCTAACCACTGTTCTTCATCAGTTGCGATGGCCACTCATAATAACAAGGCAATATAATAAGTCAAGTCGAAAATGTAATAAAAGTTAAATTTGGTTTCCTGCCATTAGAGCAGAGATGAGAAATTAAATGTCTGGGACCACACCAGCCAGAGGATTTCAACATCATTCAGTCTGGAAAGGACAAAAACTGTTCCTTCAATCCAGAGAGGTTCAAGAGAAAAACGTGGCTAACTGCGAGTGCAGCTAAAAACACTCTTCTGCTCTCCTTGCCTGCCCCTGCTATGCCATCACTTGAATTCATTCATGGATTGGTGGAAAAGTTTTTGACGAGTTTGCCCAGATGAAAGATCGTTGTGCAGCTTTTCTTTTCAAGCAGTGAACGTCTCTGGTGAGTCATTCTGCATTATTATAAGGCGTGTTATTCATAATGCCTGGAAAGCGATGTGTTTCCCTGCTCTGATATGTTGCTTTGGATATGTAGTTGCAGACCACAGTGATCGTAATACTGTTAGATAACTTTGGATTTGTAATGTGATGCTGTATAACAAGGTTTCAAGGTTCATTGATGGAGTGTGTTTGTGTTTGGATCAGGTTTGTGTGTAGTTTCATTGACGAGTCGGCTGCTGCCCCTACAGTTTATTGTGCCCCACCAGGCTTTCTGTGCCAGAGACGTCACTGGTAGCAGCTATGATCAAATACTGTAATAGCCCAATGTGAATAAAAACTAAGCTGTCCACTACATTTCTCTTTGGGCTCAAATGAATTTTTGCCATCATTCTGTAAAGCCTGTCCAGCCTCACGACATATGGATATAAAACAATGCATCTGTGGGTGGAACATGGAAAGGTCAATTAATCTGAAACCAAGGGTCATGAAAAACTACACTCTATGCTCAGTTGAGCACTTAAAGAAGAGAGGCATTGCAACAGGATGTCCTGATAACAGCATCATATCCTCTGTGTCTGTAGGTATGTCTGACAGTGTGGGATATGTTGTTGGTAATGACTGTGTATGTTTTAGTTCCTTGGAGGAAAGTGGACTCTCAGCATGTATATTTGTGATGCCTTGATGACCATGGATGTGATGCTCTGCACTGCGTCCATCCTGAATCTTTGCGCTATCAGTGTCGACAGGTAAGACGAGTATAAACACCCACTGGAAAACTTATTTTGGAACATTTTAACAAACTGTTCTTATCTTTAGAGCTCTAGCACCAGAGGTTAGAAGAAACCAAAGCTTCTGAATGCTCACACTAGTAAAAACTGGAAAAATGTAGTGAAAAATTGTTTATCTATGACAAAACCAGTGTGGCATTTTCTGTGTGTGTTCAGAGGACAAAAATAACAGCGTAAACAACAAGATATTGGGCCACTTTCTTCATCTGAATAAAAATTTAATTTTGCGCACATTCAGCAGTTGCTCGGTGGTCTCTCGCCTTCCCTACGGTGAAGTAAGATGGTGAATCAGAAGCCAGTGCTTAAATACGGCCACTGCTCGCTGGGACTGCCTCCTGAGCGCAGCGTGAAACTAAACTCCTCTAATGAAGCCACCCAGCAAGCACGACCCCAGGCAAAGCACTCTACCTCCACACATGCAGTAAACAACATTTTACCACTTCAAGAGCTCCCAGGGCATAGAGGCACTACAAAAGCAGGCTTTGTTGGATGTGTTAAATATTTAATAGTCTCTGCATGTCTCTGGGATTTAATGTTTGAAATCTAATTCTAAAAGTGTAAATAGGAGACCATTTAATCACAGATAATTGTAGATAAAAATCCACAAATTTAAGGATATAAAAAATACTTTCAGCTGCACACACTGTGATTCCCAAGACAACTGAGTCCTACCCAGAAGCCAACTTAACCAGTGCTAATTACATGAATAAACAAAATCTCTCAAGCTAAATAAGAGCTTTGGCGTTTTTTACACTGCTGCAAAATCAGATGTGTTTATTTTACTGTTCTTCTGTACTGACAAACTGCCACACGTGAATGAAAAACAGAGGATAGAGTAAGACAGAATAAACACTTCAGCTACATCACTATCCTTGGTGCCCAATATTTGGTGTGCAACCCAAGAGAAAAATATTTTTTTCCAGATTTTGAATCACTGTGTGTAAAGAAACTGTTGTCTGGTTTGAGCTTGTGTGCTTGAGTGCAACAAAACTGTCTATAATCAATAACCAGAAAACACAGTCAGTATGTTCAGGACTTTAGTTGCTGTGATTCATGTTGTTAAACATTCTTCCTACACTGCCACTCAAAAAGAATGACTCATGCACACACATATGCTATCTAGTGATGTTTAGTTTTTATTTGTTTATGTGTCTGTTTAAGAAGAAAAACAGAACAAACGACTGATATTGTGACAAGACAGGATGACACACAGTTCATTAAGTGAAACTAACTGAGATTATGTGGGGTTACATTACATTGGGAAATGTGTAGAGAAGAAAAATCCAACCACTACACATGGAGTGTGGATAGGAGTAAAGAATGAGTGGGAAGCAGTTGAAATTAAAAACATTAGGAAAGTATGACAAGGCATACAAGGCTGTCTTCAAGACTAGAGAAGCACTACACTGTCAACAAGAATAGCTCAAAGGTTTTTTGTAATGATCACTGAATCACCAAAAAATGAAAGTAGAAGCATTTAATTATAGTGTTTATCAGAATTTTGTAGCTCCTTTAGTCCTGAAGGCAACCTCACACTACTTTGTACTTTGCATATTTTTTAGAAAAGGTTTAAATAAACTACTCCCCACACATTCTTCACTGCTGTCCTCAGACCACCCATAGTGGTTGGATATTTCTTCTCCACACTGAATTTCAAATAATGAACTGGATGGCCATCAGTGTATGACATACATGCATGTGAGTAGGGCTGTAACAGTTACTCAACATAACGACAGCAATAATGTTGACAATAGAAATCGTCCAAAAATATTGTTGTTGTTGATTTTCTGTTTACATTTTCAAAGTGACATCCAAACTTGAGTAATCATGACTTAACGTGAAGAAGGCAGCAGTTCACTTACACTGTCATACCTGTGTGAGCAGATAGAGACAGAAAAAGAACAGTTGCGGCTGAAAGTTAAAAAAACCTTTCTGTTGCAGGTACATAGCAGTGGTCGTTCCTCTGAAATACAACCGGAACCAGTTTAGTGTTCGTCAGCTGGCCCTGATCACGGCCACATGGGTGCTGTCCCTGGGTGTGGCCAGTCCCGTCATATTCGGCCTGAACCAGGTGCCCAACAGGAACAAGCACGTGTGCAAGCTGGAAGACAACAACTTTGTGGTCTACTCCTCCGTGTGCTCTTTCTTCGTACCCTGTCCTGTGATGCTCCTGCTCTACTACTGGATGTTCAGGGGCTTGAAGCGCTGGAGCTCGGGCCGCAGCCGCTCGCACCTCAGCCGGGCCCCCGGGGGCCGCCACAGTCTTTCTCTGCGACTGGGGGCAGCGCTGCAGAGGGAGAAGGGCAGGGCTAGAGAGAAAGTGGTGTACCTCATGCCGGGTGGCCTCAGCCCCACCTCGCTCTCAGCAGTGCCCGCCAGCCCGCTGTCCCCCACCAGCCCAGTCACCCTCAGCCCAGATGAGCTACCAGAGGGGCAAAGCCCAGCGGCTGACAGCGACCCAATGACCACACAGATGGACAGCGTGTCAGACGCGGAGAATGCGGAAAGGGCCGCTGAGGGTGGAAGCGTGCGAGAGAACGGCTTGGGGAAGCACCACGAGGTTCGAAGGGCACGGAGACACAGCAAGAGCAGCAGAGTGAGCGGGCGTGAACGCAAAGCCATGAAGGTGTTGCCTGTCGTTGTAGGTAAGCTGTTTTTCATTGTTTTCAGGCCACATACACATACAGTTGGTACAGCAGCTTAAAACCATACCAGAGTACAAAAACTGCTACCTGAATTAAATAATAACTTAAGTAGAAGTAAAAGTAGCAACTAAAGTTGGAGTAGGTTTGTCACAATCATGTAATGTTAGCTGATGATGTATTGCCATATAAATAACTGTAATGAACAACTGAACTGTCTTTATTTGAAAGACATTAAAGTGGCCAAATGGGCTAAGTAGCTATCTTGATTAACTATTTGTCGATGCTTAAACACTCCAAACTGACAACAGATACAGCTCAAGCTTAAATAAAAAAGCATCACTCACCGCTAAAAGCATTACAGCACTCTTCAGCAGTTAGAACATTTTCTGCTCTTTTATATGCTTTTGCCCCAACCCAACAGATAAAAACACACTAAAACATTACATAAAAAAAAATATGACTGTGGAAGCTAACAGCTGTGAAAAATAACAGCGGTCAGATGATTATGTAATAAGTGTGACAGGCATAAGTTCCCCATACAACTGCAATGGCACTTTTTAGTGCACCTAGCAACTATCAGCATTGGAACTAAGGGAGCAACAACTTAAATTCAGTACTGTAAAACTGAAAGAATAATGTTCAAACAGTGTATCAAAATTTTCTTCCAGTGACCTCTCATTTGCTGTTTTTTTTGTGGAAACCACAAACCATGAGAGAATTGTAACAGTGACTTAGTTGTAGGTAACACTCAGTATCAAAGTGTAGATTTTGCACATTTTGAGATCTCCAGAACCAAGACATTTAAACACATCAAATATAAAAAAAAACAACAAAAAAAAAAACCAATAAACAAAAAAACAAATCTTGAATCTTGACCTCATGTTGGAATCGTATCAAATCTGAAACTATATCATTACATCAGTAATAGGAAAGGACACTTGTTAGGCCCTGCTCTTCTCTTTGTGGCACTGACCAGTACCTCTTGGCAGTTTTAGGTTGGTTAAGGAATAAGCTTGAATTTACAGTGTTTAATTGGTCACTGCTGTTTTCTGAGAGAAAGAGAAAATGTACTGTAAACTGTACAAAATCTGCCTTTGTGTAGATAAAATGCAAGGAATATCAAAACAGTTTTTTTTTTTCAAATCGTACATAATCACAATTTGCATTCAAAGTCAAGCCGCAAGCCTTGAAACTGCTTCAGGTCAATTAAGAGGAAAAGGTTTTCTGTCAGGTTCTCTGCGTGCCATGACTTCTAATTAACCATTCTTGCATTACATACATATAAGATCAAAAGCTGATTATAACTTTTAGGCCAGAGTCTCTGACAATTTCACAAACTACACACAGCTGGATGTGGGAGCAGGCCACTTCTGCCACAGACCGAAAACTGCTCATACTGCTCTCTGAAACTGCTCATACTGCTCTCTATTTTAGCTGAACATAAATGTCCAATGAAGTAAACAAAAATTACTTGACCTGAAAACATGTTTGAGCCTGCCTGTACATCATATCACAGAAAGAATCTTTCAAATTCTTTCAAACTCAGAAACATAGACACTTCCATATGCAGGCCTTCACATGAATGCTGAAAGGCTCTACATTTACTTTTATATTTTGATGCTGAGACTTAAAAAATACTGTTTAAAAAATCTACGTAATATTGGAGATTCATCAGGTGCACAACCCTTTCAGACACAGCTAATATAGCTTATATGGACATATGAATCTCATTTCTGTGCCATCAATCTACTACTTAAATCTACTATCTTCTTGACTGTACATTAAAAGATAAATGAATAAATGAGTGGGTGAATTTCATATAATGAGTAGATAAATACATCAACAACAAACTAGCCAGATATTAGTGTAATGTTTAAATTGGGTTGTAGATGTTTCAAATACAAATTATGTGTCATTATTTTGTTACAAATCAAGCCTTAATTCATCAAATTTGTGTAACAAAGTCACATTGCTGAATCCCACCTTAATTACACAATCAAGACTATCAAACCTGCCTGTAGGTCTAATTAACATCTCTTACAGATTACTTTACACAGTTTACATTCGTTGAGTACAGCATATAGGGTTCTCACATGTCTTTTCTGTTCTGTACCATCAGTTTATCCAAAATGAACACAATACACACTCTGTCCTCACTCAAGATTGTGAACACACTGTTTGTGCAGGTATCAAAAAGTCTAGGAATGCACCAACCCAAGTTTTTCTCTTTTGATACCAATCCCAATATCTGAACTCAGGGTGTCAGCCAGTACCAATTAAATATCAGTGCTCTATTAAGACATTTATACTAGTAAAGCAATACTATATACAATACAACAGATAAGGGAGAGCGAGGCACAAACCAAGGACATTTTATGTAGTTGACAGGTTCAAGTAGAATGTGCTTTTAGTCATCTTCTCATATTCCCACAGCAACTGTGAATCATCTGTGAATTTTGATACCAATCAGACAGATGGATCCTGAAACCTGTTTTTGTACCATAGAAGTATTTTTTTCATTGATTACTGAGTTGTGTGTATAGGTCACAGAATTCACATCCATATGGTTTTATTCTCACTTTTGGTGTCTGAAACAAAGCACCGTTTTGAAGCATGTAAACAACTCCCAATGAGAGCTCGCCAGGCTAAAGCAACCACATGGCAGGGTTAGTTGTAATGCAGCACCCTAAAGTAAACAAAGAGAGAAGTCTATTTCCACCATATAAATTCAGAAGTTTTTTTTTTTTTAAAGTTTTTATACACAGATTAAAACATACGTCATTTAAATAAAGTACACTTCTTTTATAATAAGTTTATTGGTTTGATAATTGCTTTTTACTTTGTAGTCAAAAACAAATTTGACGCATTCAACACAGCCTTCTTTCACTAATGATACTTATTTTGATGAATATATTTAAGGTTGGAAAGCTAGTTTCAAAAACATAGAACTGCATTCATTTACCAGGCCTTAAGCAACTGCTACTACTCGCCACTGCATTAGTTACAATTAACCCCACCAACGGAGTGAGTTGTAACGTTTGCAGTAACTTGATTTTCAACTGTACTATTCATAGATGGGAGGTGTTTGAAACATAGTTTATGTTTTTCATAATAATTTTTTATTTATTCAACAAAAAACAAAATGTCTTGCACTGTGCTCTGCTCTCCCCTATTATATTGTCTCTTGTTGCTCTGACAAGCAGGTAAGTGCTACTAGCAGGCAGGCATTTGATTCTCTCCCACTCAGAATATCTTTTTAATCTGTATTTTATAATGATCACACACCAAATTATTTTTAGGATTGTGCAAAATGTTTAAATTCTTTTAGAAGGCTTATAAAACTGCATTGTTACTATTTCCTAATGACCGTGACTAAGAAACAAGATCTAACTTTGGATCGATCATGTCTGACTAATATCTCATTTCGCTTAACGTCAGTACCAGTGCTGACTGAGCCAGCATTTTGGATTGATACATCATTAAAAACATCTATAGGCTGAATGTCAGCAGTGTCCCCTAACTAACAGCTTATATGTTTCTCTCCAGGTGTGTTCCTGGCCTGTTGGACGCCCTTCTTTGTAGTCCATGTGACCAAAGTACTGTGTGAGTCATGTGACATTGGACCAACGCTGATCAGCGTGGTCACGTGGCTTGGGTACGTCAACAGTGCTGTCAACCCCATCATCTACACTGCCTTCAATGCTGAGTTCAGGAACGTCTTTCACAAACTCCTGTGCTGTCGGTCAGGAGACTGAGTTGTTCGGGGGGGGGCCTGGTTTCCTAGACTAATGCACAATGGTCCTTTATCAAGGTCGAATGGCTGTGAGGCTTGTGGGAAATGACTTGGTGTTGGACACCTGTTCACTCCTGGTAGCAGAACGACACTTTTGGAAAATGGAACCTTTGAGAATGAACTACTGACTTGATCAACACGCTTCAAATAAAAAGAAAGAGCAGATGGAGGAGTGTGTGATAAAGAAATACTACTGAGGCCTTAGTTGACAAAACTGATAAAAAGACTTTTTTCTTGTAAAATTGTTGCTTAACTACAATAGATTACTGAGTACTACTGATATCATAGCCCAGAGGCATAAAATATGTGAAAATGTGCACATTTGACATGATGGTTGTTGGTGTTTAATATGTGATCGTTATCAATGTTGATTTCATGATGTTCAAAATGGCCAAATGTTCTTCATCTGCTTTCTTGCATTTAGACAGTTTATATAAAGATGAGGCAAGTAGCTTCTAATGCATAGTCACAGCGAAGGCAGGGTTTTGGTCCTCACAACACCTGACGTACCTTAACAGACGCTCAACCTATAAATCTGAAACTCAAGTGTCAAATCGGAGCTGTAATGAAACTCAGTGGGAGCATATGATTTGGGAAGGAAGGTTGCTTACTTCAGCTCTGTTTATCAGTGTGAGAGAGTGTAACTTGAAGAGATTTAACACAGTATTGTTTCAATAAATCAAAATCATTGTACATAGAGCTGACCAAGTTAGCCAATGTTTTTTTTTTGCATTTGCTCACTGAGTTGACTAACATATTCAGCCTGTGGAATATGTATTCGTTACAAGCCTCCGCACTGACATAGCAATTCTGGAGGTCATGGGTGTTGTTGGAATTAAAATATTACTCATACGGTTAATAAATAGTAAACGTGTTGATGTTCTGTGAAGAGGCTAAAGCAGAAAAAGCTTTTGCTTTAAATACTGAGGGAAAATGTCAGTTGCTTTATTAAAAGGTTGTTTCTGCTCAGCAAGTTGTACACATACAATGTAATTTGACCTATTCATAATAAATATCTATTTCCAACAGTCATTAAGGGTGAGCCGAATCTTATTAGTGGCACTAACTGCAATTATATCAAACCATTCTCCACAGCACTCCTCAATGCACATAGCCAGAGAGTAACTGTAAACACTGACTTTGATGTGCTGTGAGTCATAAACAAGGACAAACTAGGCTGAAACAAAACCATAACCCACTCGAGAGCCGTGCCAGTACAGTCTTGTGCAAAAAAAATGGGCCAAGCCCAAAATACTAATGGTTATTACTCATGGTTTTGGTCTGGTCAGAGTCCAGATTTAAACTCTATAGAGAATGTTTGGTCTCATATTAAACACAAACTGGAAGAATATTGACTTTTCTTTCTGTTTAATGATTTGTTGTTGAGACTATTAAAAGTTAAATGTTTTGCCCCTTTGGGCTTTTATTTTGCACGGAGTGTGGCTACATATGGCACGCTGCGATTTAAAAATACTGTTACAGAATTACTGCATTAAAATGATCAGGAGATGCATCTTAGACAGCATGAATGATCATGTTCTCCACGGGCTGATAAGATAGCAAGCATGTAATTCCACCTCAAGCCTGATGCTTCAGCTGGCAGTTAATTGGACCACCTCCACACCGCTAAACCAACACAGCTGTCAAACTCAAGACGAGAATCCACCAGCGAGCTGACAAATGGGCGATGATGAGATATGTGGGTAATTTGGCACATCCATAGAATCAGAGGAGAACGCACAAGCCCAAAACACTTACAAGTAGTCATATACTCTCTTCCTACGATGTAACGTTCCCTAGAAATGACGAAGGAAGAATGAAAAAGTCATAACCCGCTCACCCACAGAAATATCACTTACAGGAGCAACAATCCTAAGTGAAAACAGATCCTACGGCTGACAGAAGGTAAACACAGCATGCCGATCAGTGCGCATAAGCGCATCGACTCTTTACAGTCTCATACAGTGAGTAGGTGTCCACATTCTCAGTGCACGAAAATAGATTAAAGAACGGTGCAATTGCTATGCGAACCTCTGAGTAACCACGGAAACAAGGCACAATGAGGCGGAGCGGAGGGCACACTTCATCTTAAGTGCACCAGGGCTATCAGCGTTCCGGCCCAACCACTCGACACCATCAATCCACTGAGTTTAATGGTCACCACGGCGGATTTTAAATGTCAAACACTGTCATCATGGTGCATATCTCTTATAAAGGTCCACTCTCACATGACAAGGTTAATGTGATTGCACCCGAAAGGCTGGTAAACACCAGCTTGGTGGCTTCTAAATGAAACACTGTGACATGCAAGAGATCATAAAATAAAATATATATGGCTTTAAATATATTAATGCAATAGACCACCCAGCAAAAGATAATCCTTAAGCACCAATATATCCCAGTCTCCGCACACAGGGAGGACTCAGCTGAAGCTAATCATCACACGCACCTGCAGGTGCTCAGAAATCAACATAGCTCAAAAGAGAAAAGAATGAGTGCGTGGGTGAGTCCAGTTGATCCCTGTTGTTCTGCTCTTGCAGACTTTAAGACAGAATCCAACTAGGCTGCCATTACTGCCTGAGCACTTCACAAGACAGCTTTTCCCCCACACAGACCCTATGAGAGAACACTACTGCTCCCTCTGTTGCCCTGTCTTACTCTCTTCACACCTGTCAAAGCGTCTACTGCTCCCAGGCTCAGGGATGTCAGGTAGGTCAGAGTCCATCTACTTTTACATGTACCATCCATTTGTATAGCATTTCAAATAGGCTAGGTAAACTACGCAACCGTCCAGACAATATAGAGGAGGCAGCTGCACTTGTTGAATCTCCAGACATATTCTTGAGCCAAGTGTTACGACACTCTCTGAATATGAACATGAAAGATTGCTCAAATGGTGGGAAATGAGCTAAAATCTTTTTACTTGAGTTAACACATTAATGTTAAAATTTATTAATATTTTCATGAAGAATTGTTCAAATAAAAGAGGACATGGTCTTAAAAATGAAAGCATTTAATCATAAATTAAAATGTTCCAAGAGTCTTACAGTATTTATAGCTTCACTATTACAAACACCTCTAAGCTGCTGGGGGTGCACAATCGGAATCAGCCAAAATTCGAATAGACATATTTTTGCTTTAACATGCAATCATAAATTGGCCATTTTATTATTTGATTTTGGTTGACCTGTGTTAAAATTTTAGAGGGGAAAATAACGTGAGTAACAATGCATGAGTTGTGCTAAACAGTCAGTTACTTTCGATGTAGCACTCATGTTATTTAAATAAGCAAACAATTTTTCATTTAAATGCCAGTTTTGCTTGTTGAAGAGTAAATAATGTTATTTAAAGTGCGACTTTGGTTTAAAAAATGGCTAATAAGAAATACCCTTAAAATATAGCAAGTTTGGTTGTAAAGAAATCGGAACTGGCCATAAAAAGTCACGATCGCGGATCCCTATCAGTTACTGCATACTTGATTCAAGCAAGATAATCCTTACAACAAGTGTGGGGAACTTGGTCCTGGAGGGCTGCATTTCTGCACACCATAGGGATTTTGCTGCTCAAACACACTTTTTACAGGTTTAGTTGGTGTGTTTGAGAAGGGAAATCACCAAACTGTACTGGACTCCAGCCCCAAGTTCCCCAACCCCGCCTTACAATCAAGCCTGTTGTGCAGGAACACTGTTACAAGAGTTAGGGTGCTGACATGCTAGAAGCTGACGCAGCATCAAAAACGCAGCTCATTCAATGTATTTTAGTTAGGACACTGCGTTAGCTCTGACAGACTAGAAAACACGCCTGTATTCAGAGAAAAGATGCTCCGTCGAACGTCTAAAGACAGGCAAAGTCAGAATACTTATTTGCTCGCTTGAATTCGAACCGTTTAAACCACATCCCCACTCCAGCTAGGCACATGCCTTCTAGACGGACGATCTGCATTTGCAACTATCATTCCATTCTTACTTTGTCTAGTGTAAGCAACCACAGCCAAGCACAACCGATTAACCATAATTAAACAGTGCTTACATAAAAAAAGAACAAAACTGTTCCTTTAATACAAGCACTCTGTTACAGGCACTCTGAATACAGGCAGTGGCATGAGAAGTGTCCAGCAACTGTCAACTACAGTCCAAGAGAAGTTATAAATCACTGCCTAGGCGTGGAGAATGGGCAGTGGTTGTATCTATTTTGGAGGGTTGTCCCAAAAGAAGCTCCATCTCCACACCCTGTTAGTGTACCTCACAACAAAGGAAGGCCATTCATGTCATCCTTTCCAGCAATGTGCAGAGATGCTCAATTTCCTCTCTGCACAGCAGAGAAGGCTGTTCCATTTACCAAAAGTAATGGTGAGGGAGATCCTGACCTTTCAACATGGGCCCTGGCAAGGGTGTTTTGCTGAGAGGTGTGAAGAGAGTGAAGAGAAAGGGAACAGCCTGGTCATGTCCTTTCCCCAGAAAAAGTGCTTCACCCGTTAAAAAGCGATTTGGTGGACATGGCAGACCTAGCGTCCAGCCATATTTTGCGAGAGTGAGAACAGGGCTCAACTGGGCTCAACTATGCTCACCACTACTGGGATGATGTCTGAGTGCTTGCAGGTGTGCGTGATGATTGACTGAGTGCGCTCCCCTCCTTATCCGTATGGTTCTTCTTCATAACTGTGCTGCAGTATGACAGACAGATCTTTTCTGTGACTGTGCGTCAGGCTGATGGAGCCAGAATTATCGCAAACAAAACTTCATCTGAAGCAAGTGTCTGCTTTTCAGACGCAACACACTCTAGGAGAATCCTAGACCACATCACTAAGAGAACATTACCAGTCCTGATTACTGATTTAATAACTTGGAGAGGGACCACTAACTGATGATGAAGGAAGACAATTCTGTACTTAACTAATAAAGCCACTGTAAAATAAATTTATGGTCAATCTTCAATGGCTCAGCGTCGGCCCTGGAACAGAGCTTGTGCATCAGTTTGAGTGCACAAGCTTCATCGCAACTGGGTGCCTCTGGTGTCAAACTGGAGTCTGTGACAATTTCCCCTCAGTAACTCTGACCTAACATGGTGTAGGTGCATCACCACAATGCTAAAAAACCCTCCAAACAAAGCACCAGTAATCTCTTCATAGCGCCACATTCCATAAGATGGATATTGTGTAGTATGGGTCACTAATAACATAGCAAACCATGTTGGGGATGCTGTGCAAAAATGTAAATAAATGTAAATTAAAACAGAATGCAAAGAGGGGATTCTACACAATGGTAGACATGGCCCTGTCCCAACTTCGAGATGTGTTGCTGCCATCAAGTTCTAAATGAGTTAAGATTTTTCATGAAATAGTAAAATGTCTCACTTTCAACATCTGATATGTGTTCTATGTTCTGTCGTGAATAAAACATGGGTCTATGAGATTTACAAATCATTGCATTCTGTTTTTATTTACATTTATTTACATTTTACACAGCATTTTTGGAATTGGGGTTCTAGTATCATACACTACACTTAACACTACAACTGTTGTGGAAAAAACTAGATTCAACGCATTGCTTCACTCTGAAACATGATTACACTGTTTCTCTAGATCAGCGTTCACACAATTTGCTATAAATTTAATGACATTTAATTCAAGTTCAGGTCACCCTTTTGTCCCCTTGAGCCCCAGCCCTCCAAAATGTCTGCGCAACAGGTCAAGCACAAAAA